ATATGCAGCACAAACAACAAATATGATCTCTCTATATATATACATATACATAATGTTTAAGGCTGCGTTTGGATGAATATTTTCATCCATATTTTGAGACAGATTTTGAGAATAGTGTTTGGTTCAATATTTAGACAATAGGATCTTCAAAAATTTATTCCAACACTTTTCTGACAGCTTGACCGTTTGAATTTTTTTTTTTTTTTTTTTGCAACCTTCCCCTTTTTCACGCGTTCTCTTTTGACAGCTTATGACACATTTGATTGTTTTTTTGCGGCCTTCCTTTTTCACGCGTTCTGTTTTTCTTCTTTCATGCTGCTTTACCTGTTTTTTTTAGACGAACAAGAGAAGGTTATTATGGTATATTGTGTACTTCATAATTTTATTAGAATGTACAATATGAATGACCGTATTTTCGAACAAACGAATAATAGTATGGGTAATGAACAAGTATATTTTGATCGTCAAAACGGGATAGAATATGAGCGAAATGGAGAAGGACTGAGTCTACCGTAACAAGGTATTATAGACAATATGATGACTGTATGAGATAACATAACGAATGCACTGTAGATAGTACAGTAGACCATGTCGTAATTGATAATGTAGTATACATGTAAGAATGATTGTAATGGTTGATAATTAGTACTTTTGTTATATATGTATTAATATGATGTTTTTACACAGTTAGATTAGTACTTGAAATTAATATGAGTTTTTGTTTCTTAATATCTACGGGTGACAAAATTACCAATAAAATATTTAGTATTATTAAAATGTAACTTGATAAGTTATATATATAATAATACATTATTTTAATAAAATTCAATAAAATATTATATTAATAAATCATTTATAAAAAAATATATTAATCAAATATTCAATCAAAATACACAACCAAACACATATTTTGTAAATTTTATTCTCGTAATCATAACCCTATCTAACTATCCAATCCTATCCTTAAAATCCTATCCAAAATACTGAACCAAATACACCCTAAGTTATTTTCTGTGTAAAGAGGTTTCTCTACAAAAGCTAGCCGTCTGCAGAGCAGGAGAGACAAAGGTTTAATCCTTTTTCCAGAACGTTAAAAAAAATTCCCTTCTATACACAAATTGATCTAAGTAGTGATGATTTATTAAAAAAAAGAACAATTCGTCCACATTTCTATCCTCACCGTTCTCCAATCTTAGTCTCGCAGCACGTCACGATTGAAAGTGGCACGCATAACAATGACCATCAGAGATTACAGTTAATACAAACATTAGAAAATATTATAAAAGTATATATCATAAATGTAGATACATTACTTCAAATTATGATTTAAACTTTAACTTTATATACAATTTTGTAAAGGAAACAAAAAAAAAAAAAAAAATTCTCAAAAAAGCGAGGCAGCCGGGGCTCCATGGGGATGGGGCGGTTCGGGGCGGGGCGGGCCGGGGATTGCACTATCCCCTCTCCCGGCCCATCCTCGGATGCAGGGACATAACTAAGGACCATCCCCGGCCCTATCCCCGTTTTTTTTGGGGATTCCTCGGCCCATTTGGGCCTGGTCGGGACGGATCCCCGCGAGGCCGGGGCAAACGCCCCATCTCTAAATCTGCCTATATATTATTATGATCATTAAATGAATAACACAGTTCAAAATCATTACTTTTTCTCCTCTCGTGCTTGCCATTTCACACTTTTCCTCTCTTACCGTCTTGAGATCATGAGCTGCAGCATCTCAAAGTTAACCACAAAGTTCTACAATAAGTCAATAATTTGTATAGAACTTACTTCTTCCCCAAAATACATTGTGTTGACGCTTGATTTTGGACGCCAACGACTCGCACGTGGGAAACGCTGAGCTGACTCAGGAATCACATGTGATGGATCCATGAGATTTGAATATGGAGCTAAGATTATATATTGTGCAGAAAATATAAATAAAAGATTGGCAAGAGGGGGTTTTTATAGTGGTTCGGATGCTCAACAAGCGACTCCTACATCCACTGTTATTTTATTGATCTCTGACTATTTCTATGATTTTGTCCGTAAGGCATACAAAGATGAAGAAATACAGTGTTTACAGAGAGAGAATGAAATGAAGCTCAAATCTCAGCCTAGCCTTCTTCTTCGGGAAGAGGAGTGCCCATTTATACACCTTTGCACTCAATGTAATGAGTGTTTTGCAAGTTGCCTTGACACATGGAAGGCTCTCGTCCATTCATTTCTTGAAATGAGATAGAGTTGGTGTGAATATCTTTGGAGATATGGGCTTGGCAGCTAGCACAAGAAAACATTAAATGATCTGACATAGGCGTGACTTTTGAGGCATAACAGAAGCCCCCTAGTTTTTGAAGTGCGTAATCGCACTTCAGAAACTAAAGTCTTTGATCTGACTGGCTACAATCTCGAACTGAAGAGCTCGAACTATTCCTAGCGCGATCGAGTGTTGAGAGCTAGGAGCTGATCGCGATCTGTTAGGAAAACGACCTGAAATTTGTTAAGAAAATGACCTGAAATCTGTTAGGAGCTTGACTTGAACGAGTACGACCTGAGCACATAACGAGCACAACCTTGGCTCGACTTGAGCACATAACGAGCACAACCTTGGCTCGACTTGAGCACATAACGAGCACGATCTATGCTCGACTTGAACAAGTACGACCTGGACTCGATCTAAGCACATAACGAGCACAACCTGTGCTCGACTTGAACCAGCACTACTTGAGCTCGACCTAAACGCATAACAAGCATGACCTGTGCTCGACCTGAACGAGCACGACCTGGGCTCTACCTAAACGCATAACGAGCACGACCTGTGCTCGACCTGAACGCATAACGAGCACGACATGAGCTCGATCTAAACGCATAACGAGCATGACCTGAGCACATAACGAGCACGACCTGGGCTCGACCTGAACGAGTACGACTTGGGCTTGACCTGAGCACATAACGAGCTCTACCTGAGAGATCATAATGAGCTCTACCTAAGAACACAAGAGATTAGCGATCTGAACACGCGATTTGAAGTTAAAGATCAGCGATCTGAAGCCGAGGATCAAGATGGCATGGGCGTGCGATCTGCGATCTGGCCACGCGATCGGAGGACTCTGATCGGTGCGATCTACGATCTGGCCACGCGGTTGGAGAATTCTGACGCAGGTTTGAGATCTGAGCACGCCATCAAGGAACTTGGATGCAGGTTTGAGAATCGAACCTGCCTGGGCCACCAAACTGTTGACGCTTGATTTTGGACGCCAACGACTCGCACTGGGAAATGCTGAGCTGACTCAGGAATCACACGTGATGGATCCATGAGATTTGAATATGGAGCTGAGATTATTTATTTTGCAAAAAATATAAATAAAAGATTGGCAAGAGGGGGTTTTTATAGTGGTTCGGATGCTCAACAAGCGACTCTTACATCTACTGTTATTTTATTGATCTCTGACTATTTCTATGATTTTGCTCGTAAGGCATACAAAGATGAATAAATACAGTGTTTACAGAGAGAGAATGGAATGAAGCTCAAATCTAGCACAGCCTCCTTCTTCGGGAAGAGGAGTGCCCATTTATACACTTTTGCACTTAATGTAATGAGTGTTTTACAAGTTGTCTTGACATATGGAAGGCTCTCGTCCATTCATTTCTTGAAATGAGATAGAGTTGGTGTGAATATCTTTGGAGATATGGGCTTGGCAGCTGGTACAATAAAATATTAAATGAGTTGACATAGACGTGACTTTTGAGGCATAACATATAACTCCACTCCAACTAATTGTCAGCTTAGAGCAATATGCAGCACAAACAACAAATATGATCTCTCTATATATATACATATACATAATGTTTAAGGCTGCGTTTGGATGAATATTTTCATCCATATTTTGAGACAGATTTTGAGAATAGTGTTTGGTTCAATATTTAGACAATAGGATCTTCAAAAATTTATTCCAACACTTTTCTGACAGCTTGACCGTTTGAATTTTTTTTTTTTTTTTTTTGCAACCTTCCCCTTTTTCACGCGTTCTCTTTTGACAGCTTATGACACATTTGATTGTTTTTTTGCGGCCTTCCTTTTTCACGCGTTCTGTTTTTCTTCTTTCATGCTGCTTTACCTGTTTTTTTTAGACGAACAAGAGAAGGTTATTATGGTATATTGTGTACTTCATAATTTTATTAGAATGTACAATATGAATGACCGTATTTTCGAACAAACGAATAATAGTATGGGTAATGAACAAGTATATTTTGATCGTCAAAACGGGATAGAATATGAGCGAAATGGAGAAGGACTGAGTCTACCGTAACAAGGTATTATAGACAATATGATGACTGTATGAGATAACATAACGAATGCACTGTAGATAGTATAGTAGACCATGTCGTAGTTGATAATGTAGTATACATGTAAGAATGATTGTAATGGTTGATAATTAGTACTTTTGTTATATATGTATTAATATGATGTTTTTACACAGTTAGATTAGTACTTGAAATTAATATGAGTTTTTGTTTCTTAATATCTACGGGTGACAAAATTACCAATAAAATATTTAGTATTATTAAAATGTAACTTGATAAGTTATATATATAATAATACATTATTTTAATAAAATTCAATAAAATATTATATTAATAAATCATTTATAAAAAAATATATTAATCAAATATTCAATCAAAATACACAACCAAACACATATTTTGTAAATTTTATTCTCGTAATCATAACCCTATCTAACTATCCAATCCTATCCTTAAAATCCTATCCAAAATACTGAACCAAATACACCCTAAGTTATTTTCTGTGTAAAGAGGTTTCTCTACAAAAGCTAGCCGTCTGCAGAGCAGGAGAGACAAAGGTTTAATCCTTTTTCCAGAACGTTAAAAAAAATTCCCTTCTATACACAAATTGATCTAAGTAGTGATGATTTATTAAAAAAAAGAACAATTCGTCCACAGATCTATCCTCACCGTTCTCCAATCTTAGTCTCGCAGCACGTCACGATTGAAAGTGGCACGCATAACAATGACCATCAGAGATTATCTCTAAAGGCAAAAAATGTCACCACGTTTCTATCCAAATTTAGAGCTGTCGTGACGGAACTGTTAAAAACTCAAACTCCTATTACAAAACGCTTCGTTTCATTTATAATAATTGAAGTTTATACTGACCTTGACCATCTTCTCCCACGAATATCACATTCTTTCGCTCTGCAATTCCATGGAATCCAAAGATTTAACAGCTCCGGCGCCCTCACAAACCTCCCAAAACCCAATTCAACCGATATCTAATAACAGAGACTTCTTGAACCATCTAGAAGCGTACCTGGCAAAACGCGATGGTGTGGACAAGCTTCTCAAAATCTCCAGATATGCAACCAAGATCATTTTAGCCTCTTCAGTGCTGCCTGAAACTCTTACTGTAACAGGACGACTCAAGAGCTTCGAGTCCAGCGTGGGACTGAGTCGTAAAGCCTTTCGACTCGGTAAATTCATTCAAGATGTAAACGCTTTGCGAAATTCTGGCATAGATTCCAGAGAAGATCTTGTTCTCTCTATTATTGCGTATGGAGGCGAAGGTTTGTATTATTTTGTTGAACAGTTTGTTTGGTTAGCTAAATCGGGATTGATCGATGCTAAACACTCGCGTAATTTACAAAAGATCAGCGCTTGGGCGGAATTTATTGGTTATATAGGTAGTATTAGCATAAAATTTAAGGATTTGAAGAAGATTATGGAAGACGAAGGGTGTTTGGCATCGACTATTGAGATTGCGATTGCGAGAGGAAATCGATTTAGAGAAGAAGAGCAGAGGATGAAGAAATTGAGAGAGAAGAAGTTGATGAAGAAACTTTCAGTTGTTCAAGATTTGGCTGATGGGTTGATGGCTTTAGCTGATCTTCGTGATGGCAAGGGAACACTTTCGGCTCCGCTTTTTGTGGCCTCTGCCGGTCTTTTATCGGCGATTATTAGTTCTCATAAGAATTGGGTATCTTGCTGAGTTTCACAAGGTACGGTTGTTTCAAAATTTGGGAATTTGTTTCGTTTACTGAATTATGAATTTTATAAAAGATGATTTCATAATGCAGTTATGTGCTTATAGCTGCCTTTGTGACAGTGACCAAGCGTGAAAAGTATTCTTGTACTAGAATCATGAAATGTTGATGTGAACCCGTGAAATTTTTTGGGTTCTTTATACCACTTCATTTCTCAGGAATAAAACTATAGTTGCGGTGGGATGGGATCCATCTTTAACTTTGTTCAATATACTTCACAAGAACAGTTCAATAACCTTTTGTTTCAAATTATATTTAAAGGAAAACTGATGGAGCTTGGTAACATTTTGCATTTGCATTTAACAAAATCTTTCCTGTTGAGTAACTTATTTTGATTCAAAACAAGTACTTTTCCTCTCTATTATCGCATGTGTTGGTTAGGGTTTGTATTATTTTGTTGAACAGTTTATTTGGTTGGCTTATTCGGGTTTGGTCAATCCCAAGCACTTGCAAAACTTTGGAAAAGTTAATGCTTGGGCCAAGTTTATTGGGTGCTTTGGTAGTATTAGCCTTACAAATAGGGATTTGAAGAGGACAGAGGAAGATAGGCACATGTGAAATCAAGTATAAAAGTGGCAATCTCAAGTGGAAATGGTACAAAGAAGAAGAGGAGTGAATGGGGAAGTTAAGAGAGGAGAAGTTGATTAACACACTGCCCTATTATTCAAGATTTGGTTGAGGGATTAATGGAATTGTGAAAGGAAGGTTATTGTAGCCACTATTAGTGGTTGTGCAGGAATTTTATTTGCAGTTATTAGTTCTCGAAAGACTTGGATTTCTTGCCGATTTTGGTGGCCATTAAAGCATGATTTTTGTGTGTTCTTATCATTGGTGGTTTGGCTTTAGTTTAGGTTTTATGATGGTGAAACAAAATTTAATGATGCAGTGATGATGGTTAGCTGAATTGGTATAGCGAGAAAACTTTTTAACCATCACTGTGGGATACACAAAGTGAATTCATTGAAGTTTTTTGGGTTCACCTTTTTCCCAGATCCTTCCTTTAGGTTTGTGCTCATTCTGCTGATGATTAGTTAAATTCATAACCTATTGATGACAGAAAAGATATGACTGCAAGCAATTTGAGAGGTCCTACACTAAAACAAAAAGACAATATGCCAGAGTTTTCTCTGCTGCTTGTTTTTGGTTCTTCATACTGGCTTTATTTTCACATTACAAGTTTTAAACAATTGTGGGTTTGTAATATCAAAGATTTAGTTGCAGAGCAATTGTTGGAGTCAAATATTCTTAGAGATATAAATGCTTGCGTTAGCACACCTCTCTCAGATTTTTTATTCATTTTGATGCAATGTCATGTCGGTATCCTAGTAATCTTCGTTACCACTCAAACTCACAACAGTTGATGTTAAGGCTTATTAAGCTAGAGGCAGTTGGCTCCTCCTTGGAGAGTGTTGTGCTATTACACCAAGATACTTTAATGTGGGCTCGAGTACTATTGCTGCATATAATATTGTGTTTGATTCTCTCCACTTGCTGCAAGTGCTATCTGGCTGTCTGCCAATTTATGTTTTTTCTTCTTCTGGGCTCCAATGCATCACACTGATTTTTTATTACAATTGGCTGATAATGGTACAAGTTACAATTTAAGATGCATCTTTGGGAATATAAATTCCTGACTTTTATTCAACAGAAATCGGAAAAACAAGATTAATAAAATAATGAAGAATTTATAGAATCTGTGTCTTGACGTTTTTACCATATTAGTCCAGACGGAAAACTCTTTCCTCTCTTCTGCTGGTTAGGTCGAAATTAAATTATAGCTACCATGTTCATTTTTTTCTTCATTAGTCTTGGATATTGGTGTGTCTAAATTTGTATTTTCCTACACATTTGGGTTCTTCAGATTTTTCTGTGAGAATCAGCCTGCTTTGACTAAAATAAGAAATTAACTTCTTCTTGCATTAACTAATGCGATTATTGTTCTCCTGATCCTGTGCAATACAGAGCTCCTGTGAACGTGGGTGGATTTGGGAATGTGTTTTGTCCCCTTCTCTAAGGCAAATACGCTTTGTCTTCAATGAATGTTTTATTTGAATTGCTTTCTATTTGGTAATTTCCTTCACTAATGTAATGGACAGAAATATATAGATGGTATTCTCTTCTTTTCTATCTCTCTCGAAGTTGATTTACTTCTTTCTGGTCCGATGACTGCTGACTTGATTTGGTCTTCTCTCATCCAGTATCACTTAGGCCATTTAATGATAAAAGTACTGGCGGTTGTAAGTTGTAACTTTCAGTTTTGTCATGCATGCATGGGTTTGGAGTAAATGCCTCTAACCAGACAGTGACAATGTTGATGTTATTTAGGTGTCTTGATCGTAATCAACTATATAAGTTGGTTATATGTCCATGAAACGAAACAAAAAGTTTAGGAAATAAGATAGCGAGGTGGGGTTTAATTGGGCCCGAAAATCTGTTGTAGACTACTTTCTTAAACCAAAGAAATTCTTTGAATTGAAACCAAAAAAAAAAAAAAAAAGGGGGCAGGCATGGTCCTCTCATCAATTTAAGGGAAGAACTAAATTAGCCGCAATTCTTAATTTTAAGATTGACAAAAAATGGGATTGTGATGACCGTTCAAAGAGGGATAAAATTTAACTGATTAAATGGTAAAAATTAGCGAGGCAGTTGTAATATGGGTATTTCGGTTTGACAAAGCGGTCCAAGCCCAACGAGTCCAATGAAAAGAAGGGATCGGATTTGGATTTGGATTTGGATTAGGATTGGGGTAGCTTGGAGAAAAAGATAAAAGACTAAATAATTTAGTTGGTCCCACAATCGTGGGATGTTCCATCCAACGGCTGTTTTGTAATCTCAGTAATATCTGATGATGAACGCACCAAGTTGAAATCTGAGCTCACCAAGTGGCGTATTTTATGGGGTTTTTCACACACACACTTACCCGCAACCTTCAGGAGAGGTGGACAGAAAGAGATGATGATCCTTTTCTTGGATCTACAATACAAGCTTTCTTATTCCTTGCTCAAACTTGGAAATAACAGTAATGTCTATCCAACAATAAAACTCTAGACCTAATAATTTCCCAATTATTTTAAATAAATCCTAAATAATGGAGTCTGAGATGAAAGACCTGAATTCGAAGCCAGCTAACTCGACAGCCCCCGCTGATGGCCCAACCAAAGACGACAGGCCTCTTCTTAAGCCCGAGTCCACTGAGAGCCTCGAAGAATTGGAGAAGAAATTCGCAGCTTTTGTGCGCAGCGACGTGTTCGGCACCATGGGACGTGGCGAACTCCCATTGTCGGAGAAGGTTCTACTTGGTATCGCTCTGGTCACGCTAGTTCCAATACGAGTGATATTGGCGATGAGCGTATTGGTATTGTATTATTTAATTTGTCGGATTTGTACGCTTTTCTCGGTACCAAATCGGGACGAGGAGCAAGAGGATTACGCTCACTTGGGCGGGTGGAGAAGGAGCGTTATTGTGTGGAGTGGTAGATTCTTGTCTAGAGTAATGCTTTTTGTGCTTGGGTTTTGTTGGATTAAAGAGACTTATAAGATTGCTGATGCTCAAGATAAGTCATCATCTACTCAGGTACTATCCATATGTATTTATGCTTATGCTTATGCTAATGCAAATAATTTATTACTTCACTTTACATTAGCTAGTTAGAGAGTGTAGTGGCATTTAATTTTTCTTCTCTCTGTTTCATTAATTTTTGACAGAGTGAGGTCAATAATCAAGTTGAAGAACCTGAAAGACCTGGTGCTATTATATCTAATCATGTATCATATTTGGATATTTTGTATCACATGTCTTCTTCTTTTCCGAGTTTTGTTGCCAAGGTTTGTTAATTACTTATGCTGGCTTTTATTAGCTTTAGGTCACCTTTTGGTGTTGTTACTGACTTGTTTCTCTTTTTATTTTGTCAAATTTGATTCTGGATTTTGTTGATGAAGAGATCAGTCGCAAAACTTCCTCTAGTTGGTCTCATCAGGTTAGTTCACTTCATACTACATCCTTCAAATTTAGCTCTGGTTTGTCAATACAACAAAATATTTAATAAAGTTTAGCTCTTGTTTCTCCTCAGATTTTTTCACATCAAATCTATTTGTTACAGAAAGTATCTTATTTTTTTGCTTATTCCAATTGATTGGAAATGCATATTTTTGTATTTTTTTGGGAAGTGAGATGGGGTGTTCTTAAGGACTACCCATCTTTTCTTAAAAATTTTCAATTTAAGAAAAAATCATCTGTTGGTAGTTTTCTTGCATTGTGCTGCTTTACCTTCATGGCTTGTTGCACTTTTATGTTGTGTTTTTTTGTTTAAGGAATAGTGTGCATTGGGTAAGAGTTTCAATTCTTATGACTTCTTATTGACAGCAAGTGCCTCGGTTGTGTCTATGTTCAGCGGGAGTCTAAATCATCTGATTTCAAGGGTGTTTCAGGTAGATATAAATCATTGACGTTTATGTGTTTTTTGCAATTTATTTTGAATTTTTTTATTATCAAAATGCATGTATTTTTGTGTTTTAACCAATTTTGTGTTGGGAAGGTTTTGGAAGCATAAGTAGCTCATATCATACTATGATGCCATGTCAGCACTTTTAAATAGTACCGTACTGTAGCAAGAAGCTCCTTGAGTTTTATGATACATCCTGAATAGAAATAAATTAAAAACAGTACAAAAGTTAGATGTTTGTCATGTTATATATGCAGCACCCTTGCAATATAACCACAAGTTAAGGGTGCCCAATTCATCTGTATAACATATGGCGCTTCTGCCAGTATGTCTGTGTTATTTGACTCATCAGGCTAGGATCTTGTTGCCTAGGCTATTAAGAAGGTGATTGGCTCCCCAGCTGTAGGGAAGAAACAAAGTCATCATATGACTTAAGTTCTACTTGCATTTGAAGTCCAATTGCTGAATCGCTCTCTTTTGCTGGCAGGTGTTGTGACTGAAAGAGTTCAAGAAGCTCATCGGGATAAGTCTGCTCCAATGATGATGCTATTTCCGGGTCAGGGTTATAGGATCTTGTTCATACGTTTTTCTCTGTTATTTCTCTTAAGTTTATGCTGCATATTACATAAATTGCTTTGGTATTATTTGATATTCTCTGCTTTCCTATTTGCCATAGCACTCTGTTGAAATCTCGGAGAAAATCCAAATGATAAATAAATGAATAAGCGTAAGGATTTTTTCTGTGGAACTGAGTATGTTTCCTATATCTAAACATTCAACCATGACACTAGTCATCGTAACACTGATGGTATAGCTCAACTTAAATCTACTGTTTTTGTACCCATGACCAAATTGATAAAATTTAAGAGCATTTGCACTTGACTTACATGTATTTGCCTAGTTTCCTATCAGTTATTGATTTTATCATCAATTTCATTGCAGAAGGTACAACTACAAATGGTGACTTTCTACTTCCATTCAAGACTGGTGCATTTTTAGCAAGAGTTCCTGTGCTTCCTGTGATTCTCAGGTATCCTTACCAGAGATTCAGTCTTGCCTGGGATTCAATATCTGGGGTATGTTTTTTTCGTGCAACTTGTACATTTATGGGTTACCACAATCTCATATAATGAAAGCTGATTTGTTCCCTGATTTCCTAATAGTGGATACAATATATAGTGCCATATGTTTTCTGTAACTCTCTACTAAACCATAGTCTACAGATTCTCCGGTTTTGGTCATTAAATGGTGGCTTGGCATTGGATGAATCTTATATTTCTAGTTGTTTGGATGCTGACAGTGGAATTCTTAGTTTAAAAAATGATTGTGAATTTCTCTTGAGTTTCATAAGTTTATTACAGCCAAGGGAGACCCAATGCTTGCAGTTTAGAGTTTGGTACGTACCTTTAAATACCAGGGTGCATACAGAAAAAGGTCTTATGGTTTGTCTTGCATTGAGATGTTCAGTTAAAAAAGGCAACTTGTTGGATCTGATCATTACAAGATGTAAAAAAAAGTAGGTCTACTTTGGGTTGCTTAACTAACTCTTCTTCTCCTTGTTGACAAAGGCATTGAGTAAAAAATTCCCTCTAGAGCGTATATTTGTCTAATTGCTTATAATCCTTGTCTATGATAATCATAATCTCCTTGTACTATATCCTGTGTATTAATAAATATCAGGTGGTGATATACTTTTTCATCATATTTAAAATTTGTTTTTGTTAATGCAAATATGTATTTCTATTTGTAGGCACGCCATGTCCTTTTTCTTCTCTGCCAATTTGTAAATCATATAGAGGTGACCAGGTTACCTGTCTACTACCCGTCACAGCAAGAGAAGGATGATCCAAAACTCTATGCTGAAAATGTTCGAAGGTTGATGGCTGGCGAGGTATGCGTTTCCTTCAATTTTAACCATTAGAAGTTTGAAAAATTGAGGTACCATGATTTCAACCATTTTTTCTTCACAGCCTGCATAAAAGCTGACTTTCAACTAGAAACTTATCTTAGAAGACTCATGAAACTTAGAGGGCTTCACCATGACTACTCTTGGAAGGCTAATGTATCAATGCTAATAACCTTGATGCTTTGTAAAACTTAACCTTGATGCTATAACATTATTGTTGGGAGTTAGGACCTCAGATATGGTATAGGGAATTAGTATCCATTGGATAAAATTTACTTAAATAAGAGAAGATCATTAATATTCTTGTAAAATGCACAAGCAGATCATTAACATTTTTGTAAAAATCCGCAATGTATTAGAAAGAGGAACTGGATTTGAGCTTGACAGGACAATTATAGAAGGTAAAGCCATAACAACTGTGATAGAAAGATTATAACTAAAGAGATGTCAGAGTATATCTTTCTTAAGTTTTGCTTGCCATTGGGTTTTGTATTCTGAAGCGCTGGAACTCCTCTAGAGTTGCTTGTATTGTGGTGATGTGGTCTGTACTGTGGTGTTGACTTTTTTTTTGAAACGGTGGTCTTTATTGTTATTAGCACCACCACAGCTTGAATTGGCATTTGTATCGACATGAATTTGTTTCTGTTTCTGCTTTTCTTGCAGGGTAATTTGATAATGTCAGATATTGGGCTTGCTGAAAAGCGAATATATCATGCTGCTCTCAATGGTAATAATAGCCTGCCTAGTGTTTTGCATCAGAAAGACGATTGATAATTTCTTGGCCTCGCTCCCAAATGTTATCTAGTCTCAGTTGAGAGTTTCTTAGTTTCTATTGGCATTTTCTCATGAGTGCACAGCTAAAACAGGCAGTGGTTGTGTCTCCCCTTCTTACTCAAAGAGAAACTGGTGTGCCATTATTGTCTTGTAATTTCTTGTATGGAAAATGTGGTCATTGAATACAGTTTTAGTTGTGGTGGTTGAATTCAACTTCTGAGATTTGGTTATATGTCCAACGTTAATGCTTAATAAGTTAACTATTTGATGCCCTGACACACTTTTAGACAGAAGTATGCACCTGTAAATCTGAATCATTTCTTTCGTGTTCCTGCAGGTTTGTTTTCCCCATGCTAATTCGGATTGGCCGTCTGTAAATTCATTGTATGATTCTATTATTTATGAAAAAAAAGATTAAAAGTGATTTAGAAAATCTGTGCAGAACAATTGTTTTAATTGTCATCAGTTGACAACATATTACCTCAATGTTGAAGTACAGTGGTGGAGCTAAACTAGCGTTTTCAAAGAAGGGCTGCCTCTGATGTTTCCACATTTAGCAGTTAATAGACATCCAGGAAGTTGATATGTTCGTTTATGAGATGGCTTTTAGGTATTGTGATTGGTGCTACTTGGTCTTCAATGTTGAGTTTAATGCTTAGAAACAGAGGCTGCCTTTGTATTGGCTGAGATGCGCTCCTTGACAAGGGACTCAGGAGCGACTCATCACATTTCTTATGGTGGGGTCATATCCATTGGATTTTTGAGCAAGTGTTTGTTCCTGTAAATTAGTACTGGCGGGTTCGGCATTTGCAATTTTGCATGAATTTCTAAATTATGACCTCTTAATTACTGCCATGACTCAAGGTTCTGAGCTTTAAAAGAAATATTAGGGTTCAAATGCTCTGCAGTGCTGTTCGTTCAATTGATCTATCAAATTTTGTACTACCCTGGACCTACACAAAAGCAACATTCATCATCTCCGTGTTTTTTGAAGGTCCAAAAATGGAATAACATATTTGTTTTTTAATATGGTATAAAATTAAATTGTTATACAATCGCTTTCATTACTTTACATAGTGATGCAGATTCATTGATCAATCGCAACTATTAAATTAATAGATTTGAACAACTTACATCAAATTTCTTCATTAATTTTTAGATACGCATATAATTCTAATTTCTAATTATTGAGATTTGAGAGTGCTTGAATCTAATTATTAAAACTTACATTAGATAATTTATTAAGAAAAAATTAACCTTTCGATCAGTTTTATTTCGAGTCCTAATGTTCAAACTGATTTAAAAGAGTTCTAAATCTGGAACCCTCACTGCGCGCAATTTTTTTTTTCTTTCTGCAACAGCTCTTGAATATGAACCTAGAGAAAAGCCTTTGAACCCTGTGAACTGGGCCGGACCCCAATATAATCCGCATGTTCTCATAAGTCACGCCTAGATAACAAGCGTCAAATTTGACAGTATTTACAAATTGATGAACAATCTCTAGTAGCACAAATGATGCAGAATTTCTACAGACAGCTATTTGCCAAGAACATTAATAAATGACATGAAAAATAACACTCGAGTTATGAGCACAATGTACATTTCAAAGATGGCAACGCCATTGATCCATCGAGATTCTTCTTTGATCAGTTGCTTGCCATCTTAGTAGTTTCTAACAGCAGAGGCCAAACCAAGGCAACCATCAATCCGAAAACTTGCAAAACCAAAAGAATATAAGTGATGGCAGCCTTCTCATGTTGGCATTTATGTAAACAAATCTCTGTAATCAAGCTTAGGGANGCATTGCAACATGTGATGGTTTACGGATGAGATTGAGACAGCCACGCTCTCAAATTTCAATTTATTACGAGCTTTCCAAAATGTAGTAAAGAACTACATGTGCTTATAACCCCAAGGGGCGGCAGTTAATGAGGTTTGTTCATTTCCTTGAGTTTCTGAGTTCAAACCTTAGGGTTACTTACCACAATAATATTGTGGCTTACTTGATCCTTTGGGCTTGTAGGGTGTTCAATAGATTTTAGGGATTTGTTGAGATGCATGCAAACTGGTCTGAATACCCCGATTACCAAAAATAAATAAATAAATAACTATATGTGCTATAGATAGCCAAATATTAAAGAACTACATGTAGATAGAAATAATATTTAAGTCAAATAGTCCCTTCACATAAAATTTAGATTTTATTTTTATTCATGGCTCTTATACTAAGTAAATTATCACATGACTTGAAAGCTAGGGGAACTAGAATATAACGATTGAACAAATCTTGACTTTACATGAGTTAATTAAAATATAAATTAAAATCTTTTAAAACTTAAGTAATTATTTTTTGAGAAATTCCTCTATATAGCCATCTTCACTAATTTAAAGTCAAAAAATGTCAAGGTTTTGTTTAAAAGACAAAAGTAGTCATAAAATAATGTGAGTTAACCTAATTGCTTTTAATAAAAAATTACAAGGACAAAAGTAGTCGGAAACACAATCTAGTATGCACTACAAGGAAAATGGACTACAGTAACATGCAAAAAATATTACCATAAGTAAATAGTAACATGTATAAGGATGCTATGACAGCTCATGTTACTAAAAAGTAAACATTAGTAATACTTTCTGTATTTTACTATTCATTTTAGTAACTGCAATAAAATATTGTTGTTAAATATATTGTAACATTTATTCGTAGTTACGAATGGTTTTAAGTAATACTACATAAATGCTATAAATAAGTTTTCTGTAACATTCTTAATCTATTATAGTTTAGTTTTTTTGTAACACTCTCAAAATGTTATAGATAACAAATTTATAACATTTTAAGATTGTTACAAATTGGTTTTTCTTAACATTGTTGAAATGCTATGGAAGAATTCTAAATAACATGTAAAAAGTGCTACCAAAGTTTTAAAAAGTGTAATAAATAGATATTCATTGCATTTTGTAAATGTTACAAAATTATTTTCCATAACATTTTGAAAATGCTATCAATGTTATAGCATATATAAAAACTGTGAGAGTTGTTATTTTAATAATATAAATTATAAACAATGATACACTAATTTTTCACAGAACATTTCATTGATGATGAACCTTCATATACAAAAAGTTTGCATATATGCCTAATAAATAGGCACCCAACATCCATAAAATCTAATACCTAGATGATTGGAAAATTAACTATGAATAATAGTTAATACTTTTCAATCATTCAAAAAAATCTAACAACAAAAACCATCATGCATACCATCTTCCATTCCCAATTGTGTTTTACCAAAAAAGTACTCTTGCATTTTCACAACCTACAAAACCATTAATAAAAAAAAACATCTTCGAAGGGTACGTTTGTTTAGTTATTTTGAGTATTATTTTTGAAATATTATTGTAAAGTTGAATTGGGTTATTATTTCGAGAATAGGATTTAAAAAAAAAAAAATGTGTTTGATAGAATATTTAGTTGGGTTATTATTACGAAAATATGATTTGGTGTTTGCTAAAATATTCAGGATAGTATATTAGAGTTAAATAAATTGTAAAAAAATTATTTGGTATATTTTTTTTATAAAGGATTTATTGATAGAACTCTTTATTGCTTTTTGTTAATATTAATTTATTACTATAGCCTAAAAACTTATCAATTAACGTTTTAATATTATTAAATATTTAATTGTTAATTTTGTAATCACTAACTTAAAGACAACTTTAGAACTATTAGTTTCAAGTACTAATACATCATTTAAAAACACCACATTAATACATCTCTGATGAAGCTGCTGATTGTCAACCCTTAGAATCATTTATACAGCTATACTTCATTAATAACTATGACATCGGTCATATGTTCTTCCCACATTTCAGCCGTTATGTTATCCCGCACATGCGCCATGTCGTCAATAATACGTTGCTGCGGTTGACTCGATCTCTCCCCATTTCCTTCATTTGCTGCCTCATTTTGGTCGTGCAAATATACTTCCTCAGTAGACTGTTCGAGATTTCATCCTGCATATTGTACCTTCTAATAAAATTATGAAGTACATAACAACCCCTCTGGATCATTTCGATTATGATGGCGATCATGTAGATGGTAAGGATCTCGTCTATGAGGGGCAAGGAACCCCCCTCTATTTGCATAACCCGCATCAACCAAATAGTATTTACCTGTAATCGAACCACACATGTTATTTGATATGTCAATCCAAAAAAACGGGAGCAAATACACTATAATACGTAAAGAAGCTAGTTGTACCTAGTGGAGGCTGTGGGATTAATCCAGAATTAGGATCATCAAGAACCAAATTTAAAACCTTTAAGTCGTGGGCGGATTCTTCCCAGCCAGTGACGACATAAGTAAACATCATCCTGAAGTCACATACAATCATGACATTCTGCAACAACATTCCTTTACAATTCTGGAATACACCGGCCAACTCAGTTAGAACCCCAGCATCGACATGTGTGCCATCAATCACCTCTATGTCCTGTGAACAAAAGATAACATTCAATAATATCAACCGATTGTCAACATAAATAACACAACGAACTGAAGTATCTACAAATAATAATAATAATAATAATAATAATAATAATAATAATAATATAGTAAAACCTCTTTATAATGATACTCTATATAGAAATAAACTCTACATAATCATAAAAAAATTTATTCCCAATTCGGAATAGTTATAAATAAGAATAAACTCCACATTGTAATAAGTTATAATTATTATAATTCCCGTCCTAAGGAAAATTGTCTCCACATAGTAATAATTATCTATATATTGCAAAAAAAAATATGTTATGTTACATTAAGGGTTTAAGATGAAATAAAATATTTATTTAAAATTGTTTGGGACAATGATTTATGTTTTAGAGTTGTTACCACATCTTTTAACTTGCGGGTACATTACTCCAAAATATTTCTAGCTTCTCAAGCATACTTAGAGCGTCTTGACACAAAAAATTTTGTATTTCCGTACTATCATCCTCATGATTATTTCATTTCTCTTATTGTCAAATTATAGCAATAATTTCTTCTTCAATTAAAGCATACATAACTTGTTGCTCATTTGGATGATTGAGAAAGACATTAATATCCATTCGATTAGTGTAGTGACGTTGTGGAATCTGGTCACTCAATTATACAATAACTCTTTTATTCTCCTTATCCACTTCATTTGTAACTTGCAATTCATCGACACCGGGAGTCCTAATTTTGCAATGCTTAAAATAATTGGCAATTGTTTGTGGCTTTACATCAATTGACCATGCAATAACTGCATTTACAATTCTATCAAGGACACTTATCTTTGTTGGTTCTAAGACATGATCTTCTATCCGTTTCAAAAATAGGCAATTGAAGCGCTAAATTGAAACCTGAGTACTATTAAAACATGAATTGAAATCCTAATATTGTACTACCAAAACATGAATTATGAAATAAGAAATTTTTGTAACAACACCTCTATTAAGTTATAACCTCCTTATAGTAATAAAATTAGTTATTCCCACCATTATGATTATAGAGAGGTTTTACTGTAATACAATAATATTTTTGGTTGGTTGATATTTCCTCTGGAACTTCAATGAAGTACGGTGCCTTGATAAACTTTGTCTGCAACCCACATATCACGTTGCAAACTTTACCCACATATCTAGAGATTGTCTCACTCGAATGTTGAAAATCCTTCATAATAGTATTGTATGTCCCGTTTTTTCCAACGGTTGTAAAAAATATCATTACATGTTCTTCAATAGTCATTGTCTTAGAGTCTCGCAAATTCCCTTGCTGCGCCAAAATGTAACATAAGTATCTAAAGCATTGTTTATCCATGCGACACTTTGCAAATATTCTATCAAAATGGCCATTAAGTACTTCCAACATGTTATTGTCATGGTCATGGTTGTCAAAACGTGTATCGTATCGTGTATTGAAAACCTAATTTTCCGAATCGCGTATTATATCGTAGGATACATCTTTTTCAAAAATATTAATAAAATA